CAGCCACAGCTTCTCTGGGAAATCCATGCCAGGGCCTCCCCACCCTTCCCAGGGAGGAATTCCTTCCCAATATCCCATCTTTCCCTGCCCTCTGGCACTGGGAAGCCATTCCCTGTGTCTGCCCCTCCATCCCTTGTCCCCAGTCCCTCTCCAGCTCTCCTGGAGCCCCTTCAGGCCCTGGAAGTGGCTCCGAGCTCTCCCTGGATCCTTCCCTTCTCCAGGCTCACACACACTCATCCCATCCCACCTTTCCATGGGCAGGGACACCTCCCACTATCCCAGGCTGCTCCAAGCCCTGCCCTTGGACACTTCCAAGGACGGACCATCCCTACCCTGTTCCAGGGCCACTCCAGCTCAGCTTTTCCACGGCAGGTCCCTCCCACTCCCAGCACCTTTATTTCCCTCCAGGGAAGCCCCGAAGGGCTCAGCCAAGAGCTCACCCCCCGTTTCCCCACGGGCACCCCCTCACCTGCTTCTTCACGCCGTCGATCTCGGCGCGGATCCTCTGGATCACCCGGTTGAGCTCCGAGATCTCGGCCTTGGTGTCCCTCAGGCTGTCCCCGTGTTTGCCGGCGCTCACCTGCAGCTCCTCGTACTGGGGGCACAGCCAGGAGGAGCTCGTGGGGCCCGGCCCGACCCCACAGCAACTCCGGCAGCTCGGGATGGCCCCGGGAAAGCCACGGCAGGGCCGGTCTGGGTGGACCAGGGCCAGCAAATCCCAGCTCCTGGAGGGCTCTGAGCTCCCAATCCCAGATCCTGGAGCAATCTGAGCTCCCAGTCCCAGATCCTGGAATGCTCTGAGCTCCTAATCCCAGATCCTGGAGTGCTCTGAGCTCCCAATCCCAGCTCCTGGAACAATCTGAGCTCCCAATCCCAGCTCCTGGAGTGCTCTGAACTCCCAGTCCCAGATCCTGGAATGCTCTGAGCTCCCAGTCCCTGCTCCTGGAACAATCTGAGCTCCCAGTCCCAGCTCCTGGAGTGCTCTGAGCTCCCAATCCCATGTTTTGGAGTGCTCTGAGCTTCCAATCCCAGCTCCTGGAGTGCTCTGAGCTCCCAATCCCAGCTCCTGGAGTGCTCTGAGCTCCCAATCCCATGGTTTAGAGTGCTCTGAGCTCCCAGTCCCAGCTCCTGGAACAATCTGAGCTCCCAGTCCCAGCTCCTGGAACAATCTGAGCTCCCAGTCCCAGTTCCTGGAACAATCTGAGCTCTCAGTCCCAGCTCCTGGAGTGCTCTGAGCTTCCAATCCCAGATCCTGGAGTGCTCTGAGCTCCCAATCCCAGATCCTGGAGTGCTCTGAGCTCCCAATCCCAGTTCCTGGAACAATCTGAGCTCCCAGTCCCAGATCCTGGAGTGCTCTGAGCTCCCAGTCCCAGCTCCTGGAACAATCTGAGCTCCCAGTCCCTGCTCCTGGAACAATCTGAGCTCCCAATCCCAGATCCTGGAGTGCTCTGGGCTCCCAATCCCAGATCCTGGAGTGCTCTGGGCTCCCAATCCCAGATCCTGGAGTGCTCTGAGCTCCCAGTGGTGACTCTCCCACCCCCCTAGACCCTGGGGGTCCCCAAGAAGGTGGGACACATCCACTATCCCAGATCCTGGAGTGCTCGGAGCTCCCAGTCCCAGCTCCTGGAGCGCTCTGAGCTCCCGTGGGTGACTCTCCCACCCCCCTAGACCCTGGGGGTCCCCAGAAAGGTGGGACACTCCCACTATCCCAGATCCTGGAGTGCTCTGAGCTCCCAATCCCAGCTCCTGGAGTGCTCTGAGCTCCCGTGGGTGACCGTCCCGCCCCCCAGCCCCCCGAGGGTGTCACACACCCACCTTGCCCCGGTACCAGGCCTCTGCCTCGGCGCGGCTGCGGTTGGCGATGTCCTCGTACTGCGCCTTCACCTCGGCGATGATGCTGTTGAGGTCCAGGCTCCGGTTGTTGTCCATGGAAAGCACCACCGAGGTGTCCGACACCGTCTTCTGCACCTGGGACAGCTCCTGAGGGGCACACCCGGCCCGGATTGAGCCCCCCTGGAGCTTCCCAGCGGGGCTGCAGCCCCCTCAACATCCCGACATCCCTTATCCTGTCATCCTGACATCCCTTATCCCAACATCCCTTATCCCAACATCCCAACATCCCGACAGCCTGACGTCGTGATATCCTGACATCTCAACATCCCTTATCCCGACATCTTGAGGTCTTAATATCCCTTATCCCGACACCCTGACATCCCTCCATCCTGACATCCCTCCATCCTACATCCTGACATCCCTTATCCCGACATCCTGACATCCTGATATCCCGACATCCTGACATCCCGACATTCCTTATCCCAACATCTTGACATCCCAACATCCTGACATCCTGATATCCTGACATCCCTTATCCCGACAGCCTGACATCCCGACAGCCTGACATCCTGACATCCTGACATCCCTACATCCTGACATCCCTACATCCTAACATCCCTACATCGCTGCATCCTGATATCCCTCAATCCCGACATCCCTCCATCCCAATATCCCTCCATCTCTCATCCCTTATCCCTCCATCCCTCCATCCCAACATTCCTCCATCCCTCATCCCTTATCCCTCCATCCCTCCATCCCGCATCCCTCCATCCCTCCATCCCTCCATCCCTCATCCCTCATCCCTTATCCCTCACCCCTTATCCCTCCATCCCTCACCCCTCCACCCCACCATCACTCACCGCCTCGTACAGGCACTTGAGGAAGTTGATCTCGTCCAGCAGGGAATCCGCCTTTGCCTGGAGCTCCACCTTCACCATGTAGGCCCCGTCCACGTCCTGCAGCGGGCACGGGGTGAGAAAACCCGCCCGGATCAGATTTCATGGAATGGCGGGATGGGATGGGATGGGATGGGATGGGATGGGATGGGATGGGATGGGAGGGATCCTTGAATCCAGTCCCACGCCCCTAGCCGGCCGGGCAGGGACACCTCCTCGCATCCGCAGGGGGATCCAACCCGGCCTTGGACACTCCCAGGGATCCAGGGGTAGCCACAGCTCCTCTGGGAATTCCATTCCAGGGCCTCCCCACCCTCCCAGCCAGGAATTCCTTCCCCACATCCCCCCTAAATCCCCCCTTTCCCAGTGGGAAGCTATTCCCTGTGTCTGTCCCTCCAGCCCTTGTCCCCAGTCCCTCTCCAGCTCTCCTGGAGCCCCTTCAGGCCCTGGAAAGGGCTCCAAGCTCTCCCTGGATCCTTCCCTTCTCCAGGGGAACATTCCCAGCTCTCCCAGCCCGGTTCCAGAATCAAGGAATCCTGGAATGGGTTGGGTGGGAAGGGGCATTAAATCCCATCCCACCTGTCCATGGGCAGGGACACCTCCCACCATCCCAGGGGGATCCAACCCGGCCTTGGACACTCCCAGGGATGGGGCATCCTCTGGGAATTCCATCCCAGGGCCTCCCCATCCTCCCAGACAGGAATTCCTTCCCAAAATCCCCCCTCAATCCCCCCTTTCCCAGTGGGAAGCCATTCCCTGTGTCTGTCCCTCCACCCCCCATCCCAGTCCCTCTCCAGCTCTCCTGGAGCCCCTTCGGGTCGGGAATAAGGGCCTGGACCTTCTTGAGGAGCACGAAGTCGTTCTCGGCCGCCGTGCGCTTGTTGATCTCCTCCTCGTACCTGGGGAGCAGAGACGGGATTTGCCTCTGGAATATCCTCGGGAGCTCGGCAGGAACGGCCCGGGAACTGCCCCGGGACAGGCCCCGGCTCCGGGATCCCCGGGAAAGCCCAGGAAGAGGAATCCCGGTGGCTCCAGGACCTTTCCAAGGCTCCAGCTCCGCACACGCATCATGGAATTCCCCCCCAGCGATCCACTGGGATCATTATCAACCCCAAAAATCCCCCCATGGGCCGTTTCCAGCTGCTCCTCCCCGAAAATAAAGTCAATTTTCAACCAGCAGATCCCGGGCCTGGGTGATCCCGGTGATTCCCAGACTCCTTTTCCCATTTTTTTTTTCTGGAATCCCTTGAGTGGATTCTTTTCTGCGGGATTTGTTCTTCCTTTTCCAACTGAACCGGTTTTATCATCTTATTTACTATAATAAATTGTACTTATATATATAATAAATTGTATTTATACCATTTATATATAAATAAATTGCATAAATACAATTATATTAATTGTATTAATTGTAATAATAAAATTATGTATTTATATATAAATAAATTGGTATAAATTTGGTATTTATTATACTAATAGGTAATGCATACTGCAAATGTAAAAAAACATAATATATATAATATTATCATAATATTCAAGCTGTAATTTATATTTATATTTTACTTATTGGTTATAATAAATAATGGTAGGAAAAGAACCCCCTTTATTTTCCCCGTCTGTTTTTTACGCCACCTCAGCCTTCCCAAGGAAACCTTGGAATGCTGAAGGGTTTTATGGGAAGGAAATCCAGGAGGAAATTGGAGCTGGGTTTAGCAACTAATTAAGTCGTTAAATCGTTAATGTGACGGGTTCCTAATTGAGGGAGACGAGGAGTGGAGGATCCTCCCTCGGCATCCAAACAGGGCACGGAGGAAATTCGAGGAACAGCGAGGAAATGTCAGGAATGTTCAGGAAATTTGAAGAAATTTGAGGAATATTGAGGAAATTTGAGGAATATCGAGGAAATTTGGGGAATATTGAGGAATATTGAGAAATATTGAAGAAATTTGAGAAAATATGAGGAATATTGAGGAAATTTGGGGAATATCGAGGAAATTTGGGGAATATCAAGGAAATCTGAAGAATATTGAGGAAATTTGAGGAATATCGAGGAATATTGAGGAATACTGAGGAAATTTGAGAAATATTGAGGAAATTTGAGAAAATATGAGAAATATTGAGAAAATATGAGGAATATTGAAGAAATTTGGGGAATATCGAGGAAATTTGAGGAATGTTGAGGAAATCTGAGAAATATTGAGGAATATGGAGGAAGTATGAGGAGTATTGAGGAAGTTTGAGGAAATTTGAGGAATATCGAGGAAATCTGAGGAATATTGAGGAAATTTGAGGAATATGGAGAAAATATGAGGAATATCGAGGAATGTTGAGGAATATCAAGGAAATTTGAGGAATGTTGAGGAGATTTAAAGAATATTGAGAAAAATTCAGGAATATTGAGAAAATGTAAGGAATATTGAGAAAATATGAGGAATATCAAGGAAATTTGGGGAATAGAGAGGAAATTTGAGGAATATTGAGATGTGAGAAAATATGAGGAATATTGAGAAAATGTGAGGAATATTGAGGAAATTTAAGAAATATTGAGGAATATTGAGGAAATTTGAGGAATATTGAGGAAATCTGAGGAATATTGAGGAAATTTGAGGAATATTGAGGAAATTTAAAGAATATTGAGAAAATTTGAGGAATAGTGAGAAAATGTAAGGAATATTGAAAAAATATAAGGAACATTGAAAAAATATGAGGAATATCAAGGAAATTTGAGGAAATTTGACGAAATCTGAGGAAATTTGAGAAATATGGAGAAAACTTGAGGAATATTGAGAAAATATTAGGAATATCAAGGAAATTTGAGGAATATTGAGGAAGTTTGAGGAATATTGAGGAAATTTGAGGAAACTTGAGGAATATTGAGGAAATTTAAAGAATATTGAGAAAATTTGAGGAATATTGAGAAAATTTGAGGAAATTTGGGGAATAGAGAAGAAATTTGAGGAATATTGAAAAAATGTAAGGAACATTGAAAAAATATGAGGAATATCAAGGAAATTTGAGGAAATTGAGGAAATTTGAGAAATATGGAGAAAGCTGAGGAATATTAAGAAAATATTATGAATATCAAGGAAATTTGAGGAATATTGAGGAAGTTTGAGGAATATTGAGGAAATTTAAAGAATATTGAGAAAATTTGAGGAAATTTGAGGAATATTGAGGAAATGTAAGGAATATTGAGAAAATATGAGGAATACCAAGGAAATTTGGGGAATGTTGAGGAAATTTGAGGAAATTTGAGAAAACTTGAGAAAACTTGAGGAGATGTGAGAAACAGGGAGAAAACTTGAGGAACATCAAGGAAATTTGAGGAATATCAAGGAACACCTCAAAAAAATCCTCCCCCTTTTCACCCGAGCCCGACACCCCCGAAACCTGTGACATTTTCTACCCATCTGGAAAAAAATCAATGAAATATCGACGATTATCATCATCGATATTTCAGTGTTTTGGGGCTGTTTGGGGTTTTCTCTCCGTTTCTTCACTCCCCGAAGCACCTACTTGGTCTTGAACTCCTCGACTGTGTCCTGGGAGCTCTTGAGCTCGGCCTGCAGCTGGAGCTTCTCCGCGGAGAGGGAGTCGAGCTGCCTGCGGAGCGAGCTGACGTAGGCCTCAAAGATGAGCTCCAGGCTCCTGCCCCCCGGGCCAGACCCCCCCTGCTCCTGCAGCAGCTTCCACTTGGTCTCCAGGACTCGGTTCTGCTGCTCCAGGAATCGCACCTGGACGGGCAAGGGGGAAAGTCACATTTCCCCCCCAAATAAATCACATTTTATCCCCGGAAAAGTCCCACTTTCCCCTTAAAACATCCCCAACCCCCCCAAACCCGCCCATCTCCTCAAAACCAGCCCCAAACGCCTCCAACACGAGGGAACTTTGGGGGCATTTTGGAGTTCCCAGCTCAGGGTGTCCCTGGATGAGCCTCTCCCAGCCCTTCCCATGGAATTTTGGGGGGATTTTGGAGTTCCCGGCTCGGGCTGTCCCTGGATGAGACTGTCCAGGCCATTCCCATGGAATTTTGGGAGGATTTGGGGCCAGTTCCCAGCTCAGGATGTCCCTGGAGGAGCATCTCCAGGCCATTCCCATGGAATTTTGGAGGGATTTGGTGCCAGTTCCCAGCTTGGGGTGTCCCTGGATGAGCACCTCCTAGATGTTCCCATGGAATTTTGGGATGATTTGGTGCCAGCTCCCGGCTCTGGATGAGCCTCTCCTGGTCGTTCCCATGGAACTTTGGGGAGATTTTGGAGTTCCTGGCTTGGGCTGTCCCTGGATGAGCCTCTCCCAGCCATTCCCAGGGAACTATGGGGGGATTTGGTGCCAGCTCCCAGCTCTGGATGTCCCTGGAGGAGCATTTCCAGGCCATTCCCATGGAATTTCAGGGGATTTGATGCCAGCTCCTGGCTCTGGATGAGCATCTCCCAGCCATTCCCATGGAATTTTGGGGGGATTTGGTGCCAGCTCCCAGCTCTGGATGAGCCTCTCCTGGTCGTTCCCATGGAACTTTGGGGGGATTTTGGAGTTCCCAGTTCGGGGTGTTCCAGATGAGCCTGTCCAGGCCATTCCCATGGAATTTTGGGGGGATTTGGGGCCAGCTCCCGGCTCTGGATGATCCTCTCTGGGCTGTTCCCATGGAATTTTGGGAAGATTTGGTGCCAGCTCCCAGCTCGGGGTGTCCCTGGAGGAGCATCTCCAGGCCATTCCTATGGAATTTCGGGGGATTTGGTGCCAGCTCCTGGCTCTGGATGAGCCTCTCCTGGCCCTTCCCATGGAATTTTGGGGGGATTTGGTGCCAGCTCCCAGCTCTGG